AAAACGCCGCCGGACGCCTATCGGTCAAAAACGAAAAAGTCGCGAGGCGTGGAAGCGTTGGGGAGGGGGTGGGGCATCAGATCGACGAGCGATGAGAGAGAGAGTATTAGATACAAACTTATATTAACCTGGGAACCAATCTTCAGTTGGATTTACAAGTTGGAAGCCACCCTGTTGAGATGCATAATCCAAACCTCCATCTTTAAGGCTTAAAGGAGATGAGCGAAGGAACTCCCATCCCAGGGCACTAAGTAGCTTTTCCACAGTCACATTAGGATTTACATCCTGTAGATTTACAGTGGGGGATGGTACACTAGCAGTAGCATTGGTTGTAATCCCCTTCTGCAAAAGAAAAGAACAAATTTAATTACACAATTAATTTAGAGTAACAGTTTGATCCCTACACAATATATTATTTTCCTTTTCAGTATAATACATCATCTTTTCTTTGACAGAGTTGTAAAGTTTGAACAGAACCAGGAGCCTTTCTTGCCTTAAAAGCCCAAACATAACTTAATCTCTCACAATTTAGAGGTGACCTACAGGGAGACCCTTGCGTAGCTGCATGTAAAATCTACATGATAAAACACTATAACTTCCTCTTTTATTACTTAGGGACAATTTTTAATGGATTAAACCAAACATTTTATTGGTCTTATGATTGTAAAAGAGCCAGACAACAAGAACGTACACTACCATACACCAAAGAAAACCATTCGAAAATAAATAAATCACAAAAATTGTACGTGAAGGGATAAGGTTTCTCCAATGTTTCCTGTTTCAATTCATTAGGTGAAACTAACAACAAATGAAACTGATGCTCTCATTAAGGAATGGGGAAGTCCAAATCAGGATAAAACTATGCAAATTTCAATTTCCTGACCTGGATGTTACAAAGCAATTAGCAGTAGTATTATTCATATGTCATAACATACAAGAATGAAATATTTTTCCAAAACAATCAGATGGATCTAAGTTGGCCAATTATCACCTTAGCAACTCCTCAATCATCTTCTAAGTTTAAATAATTAAATAATTGTTTAATAGGATAACTATTAATTGTTTACAACCCTCAGTTGGCCACACCATGAGCACCATGTGGACACGCATTCCCCCCCCCCCCCCCAAATCCTGTTTGAGCCATTGTACTGAACATAGTAAGAATCACAACTTACATCGTGTTTGCAAAGGGCATCATGGAGTACAGTCTTGTCTACGTTGACTAGAATAGTGCAATGGTGATATGCATTGGGGCTGCCAAGTTTTGAAGCAGTGCCTGAAATCTGATAAAACAAGCAAAGAGGACGTAAATTAAAAAATTAAAATTTGAACACCATAGTCAAATACCCAGCAAACTCTTAAAATAGACACCAACCTTATTTCCATTGATGACAATATCTTCTCGAGCATTGACCTGAGAGCATAGGTTGAACTCTCTGAACAGAGCTCTAGTCACAAGATCTAAATTGCGACGTCTATTGTAGACATCACGAGCAGTGAAAAAAGTTAAATTTAGGTTACCACTGTCATGGTAAACAGTTCCACCACCAGAGTTGCGTCTGGCCACTTCAACTCCATTCTCCGAAAGCACTTGGGGGTTAGCTTCTAGCCAAGGGTTTTGATGTCGACCAACAACAACAGTGGGAGAGTTCTGCCAGAGCATCAAAATGTGATGTTTGGAGAAGTCCATGTTGCGGTACATCCAGTCCTCCAGAGCCAGATTACTGAAGACATCTTTAGACTGTGATATGAAGACAGACTTCTTGATCTCCTCCTCAGGTGCTGTCTGGCTTCCTTTTTTCCCAGCAGCATTAATGGAAAAGTGGGCAACTGAGCTGCGGTTAATCACCACAGCAGCACGAAGGGATGCAGAAATATGTCTTGCAAAGACACTCTTCATGACGAGGGCCATTTTTCTCCTCAGGGTTCACTTAGTAGTCAGAGCTCACAAAAAACACGTAAAAGCAAAATTTCTAGGAATTTTGCTGAGTCAAAATAATTGTTTAAATGAAACTAGGGTTATGGTCAAATGTTATGACGGCACTGATGACGGTGGTAATTGGTTAAAAAGTCAGGCCTAAAGACAGTTGGTTTTCACTGACGCTTCGAAGGGCTGAAGAGCGTGACCATATACTCGTGGAGGGCGGGGGTCTGGTGCAGCCACTTCCACGTCTGGTGCAGTTGACAGGTACGTGAACGAATCACCAGACAATCGCAATCTTTTCGCATTCCTCCTAGTTGTGGACCAGCGGGGGAAGGTGAAGAGGGGGCGCAACGCGGGGGTGGCGGAGGGTGGCGGGGCG